CATCTCCACCGGCTGGAATTACACAATAAAATCTTAAATTAAATTATTCAACTTTGTTACTTCCACGGATACTCCTCACCCCTCATTAAAAACGCCCACTCTCGCCTATTAACATGGTAATTTGTACATTCTGCGTAATGCTGTAATCTAATAATGGTAACGATTACCGCGTAATAAACTAGTCTCGTCGCACGCATAAAAGACAGTCTGCTACTACGGTTAAGCAAAAAACGGCTCGTTGTAATATGTGGCGTTAACCGCAAACGTACAGCTCGGTCAATTTGTTTTCTACGTTGGCTAACTCATGATACATGCAAAAATAACAAAAATTTATTTTTTCATGCTCCGTTAAAACCTGCAGCCGCGCTTCCTTTTCAAACACAAATCGCATACACTTTTAACACAATATTTATAAAAAGAAGCAAACTTCACAACAAACGGAATAATTGGCTGTTACTGAATACTATATTTTTTCATTGTTATCAGTCTCCGACGACCTGTAGCAACTAAAATTTTGTATGTCGTCACCATCGTCATCATCATCATCATTGTTATTATCATTCATGTCTTTCGAGAAATGCTTTATTAGTTTACTTTGATTCGAAACTGATGTATTTTTCTTTACGCACGAATGCCCTCCTCTACCCGGAATCACCAAATTGAGCTTGAAATAAGTTCGGAAATAGTGTTTTATGTTAAGTGAAAAAAATTTGGCATTGGGCTTACTTTTTCATTAAACCGGTCTAGAGATTCGTGCGAGTTGATTCAGTGGCTTTTCCCGGTGGCAGAAAGTGCGAGTATTTATTACAAAGGTGGTTTTTGTTTATCTGGTAAATAATGCCAAGGGGAAGATAGAAAATTAGGAAACGACTAAATGTACCATAAATAAGCAATCGATATTGGAAAGCTGGATAAGATTGAAGGACTTCCGCGTAGATAGCAGCCGCGAACCTGTATAAGAATGAATCTTGTAAGACGTACGCAATACCGTTACGAGCACAGCTTGTTTTCGTGCAAGTTTTAATGAAGACAGTTTAAATAATGGAGAGAGATAAAAGGGTTTCGGAGGTGAGTGCGCATGCAAATAAGACGAAAGTGGTGTGCAATACTTCGCCAATAAACCACAACACGGGGATCAATGCCGAAGCGTCGGATCACACCGAGTCGCGTTCTTAATTAACTGGAGAGACGTTTCGGCACCGAGTCACGGTCAGGGGTTGTTGCTGAAAATTGACGAAACGGGGACATAAAAATACATAAATTTGCGGCAATGAATATGCAAAGCAAAACAACTTATTACGAGTCACAGCCTACTCTAAACCGATCGATTACCGACTGAACCGCGCTAGCTCAACATTAAATTAAACTTGGCCGGATACTACTCATGTAACTAACACAAAATTAGCCGATTAGTCGTGCGGAGCGTCTCACCGACTGACGAAACGCGGACATACAGGTCCATATATTACAATTAAGGAGTATGCAAAGAAATGTGGCGAGATTAATAGCTTGCAATTTGTTGCTGGGCTAGGTGAGGTCGGTGCCGGAGGTTAGCCCATAATAACTTCACTTCCAAGCACACGGGTTCACGCCGATATTTATGTTGGGGATCGTGACATCGCATTTGTCTTGGACGCTACGGTCGGGCCAATAGGATCAGCATCGCGGTATGGGCCGTTGATAGCACTTTTATGCTTGAGCAGCACATTCAATTAAAAACGAACAAAATGATATGCGATTATTAGCGCTATTGCCGCCGCCAGAAAGACGTATTGCTGAGCAAAGGAAACAGGGCTAACGCTGACGACGGGGAAGTTTTATTGTGCTGTTGTTACTATTTTCGATTGTTCTTTCTCTAATCCTATTATATGTTGTTAGAGTTGGCAACAGCAACAGGCGGCTAACGACACATCGTACCTCTCATACAAGTTATAGCATACTATAAAACATTTAGTACTGGATGCGTGCAACTTTTAACTGATTTCCGGTTGAACAGTAAACAACACGCAAGACAAAAAAATTGGTCTAAAGAGTTTAGACAGTACTTCCCTCGCTGTCAGAAACTTGACGACTGCATGCCTATTGTGTTTTTTTTCTCATTACATTTTTGTAGTGGGAATTTAAAAAAAAATTGCGATGACGTCATACACATTTTTGCAAGGACACGTATATCAGTTGGGATAGATGTAGTGTAATACTAAGAATAAAATTATTGTATTCCCAAATTTTCGGGAAAATGAATTGGGTCGTTTTGAATATTGATTTGTAATAATCAATAAAATAACGAAACAATTTACTCACGTATACATATCAGAGGCAACTGAAAATCGTGTATGTATAAACATTCTTAATTTAAGATGACATGCGTAACAGCATACGTGAGAGTCAAACAAAGAAACTGTAAACAAAACGACAATCGGTTTTATTGCGTCGACTTCCGCTTATTATATAAAACATTGGATTTTATTTTAATTTTTGACGGTGGAATTCACAATTGGTTGATTTAAAACATGTCTATACCACATTCGCGGAACCTAGTCAGCTATGTTTCAACCGAGTTTTAACTTTAAAAAATTTGTGTCTACCAACTTGGGTTGGTCCAATGTAATACTAATAATAAGTGTTGCCTTTAATTTGATCAATAAAATAAATTGACTTCATTAATTTTTTTGAGCCACCCTTTAAGAAAATCTAAAAAATATGAATGGAATGATAAATCACAAGTACAAACTTATCATATTTTCTGCATTTTAGATAGGATTTATTTAGCAAAATTTAAGGGTGACGTCACCAATTTTTTTAGAAGGGATGAACAAATACATTTTGAACAAAAGTTTACCATGCTTATAATAACTTTAAAATATCTCCAAGATTTCAAAGCATTCGGTTCTGTAAATCCTGATTAAATCAATAAAATCAATTGACGCATTCAATAATTTTTTTCAGTCACCCTATATATGCAAATCGAAAAAATATGAACGGAGTGATAAATCACAAGTACAGACTCATCATATTTTTCACATTTTAGATAGGATTTATTCACCAAATTTTAGGGTGACGTCATCGATTTTTTTAGGGGGGAAGAGCAAATACATTTTGATAAATAAATTACCATGCTTATGGTAACTTTAAAACATCTCCAAGATTTCAAAGCATTCGATTATGTAATTCCTGATTAAATCAATAAAATAAATTGACGCATTCATTAATTTTTTTCAGTCACCCTGTATATGCAAATCGAAAAAATTTGAATGGAATGATAAATCACAAGAAGAGACTCACCATATTTTGTACATTTTAGATAGGATTTATTCGGCAAAATTTTGTGGTGACGTCATAAATTTTTTAGGAGGGACGACCAAATACATTTTGATAAAAAATTTACCATGCTTATGATAACTTTAAAACATCTTCAAGATTTCGAAGCATTCGGTTTTGTAGTTAATGAGTAAATCAGTAAAATAAATTTTGCGCATTCATTAATTTTTTTGAGTCACCCTGTATATGCAAATCCAAAAAATATGAATGGAGTGATATATCACAAGCACATATTTTGTACATTTTAGATAGGATTTATTTGGCAAACTTTTGAGCTGACGTTATCAAGTTTTTGGAGGGGATAACCAAATATATTTTGACTAAAGATTTATGATGCTCTTTATAGCCTTAAAACATCTGCAACATTTCAAAACATTCGGGTTAGCAGATTCAAAATTAAATTGCAAAATGTTGTTTTATAATTTTGATTTTTTTTCCAAAAATCTGGACGTTTCGGGTAAAAACTGAATTCGGAGTCGTAAACTACATGTGTAGGACTATGTTATTTTATACAATTTAAGACCTATTTACTATGTACAATTTTGAAGTGACGTCATCGCATTAGTGGTGGGGATGATTAGACAAATTTTGGTTAGCGTTTTACCATCTACATGATATTCCTAATATAAGTACAAAATTTCACAACAATCGGTCCAGTACTTTCGGAGATTATCTGTCTAATAAAAATCCGGGACGGCAGACGGACAGACGGACGGACAGACGGACGGACAGACGGACGGACAGACAGACGGAAATGGGAGACCTATTTCTTCGTCTTCTAGGGGTCATGAAAGATCGAGAAAACGTAAAAGCAGAGAGTCGGCCGACGGACTCGATTACAATACTTCCTTTGCTTACGCTCGGGAAGTAAAAATTAGCTAGGCTCATCGTGTGATACCATTTAACCGAGATCGTGCATTATACCAACTATATTTAGTGATCTTCGCTAACGAGAGACATCATTGGTGTCGATTGAACAAGTTGCCGAAAAATCAAGCATCAAAGAAACGGAAAACTTTCAAGAGTAGCATATTATCCAATGAGCGTGTAATAGTGGCAATTACTTGGCACGCGAGCCGCAGGGGAGTTTACTTTTACTACAAGTATTAATTTTTTACTTTTATATATCTAACTGAACATCACATTCAAAAACGATGACTTTTGCTGCAACCAAAGCACGACCCACTAACATGAAATATTATACCGTAATTATTGAATTGAATAAACTTCTATTCAGTAGGAGCATATTTGACTAAAACAAGTTATTAGCAAACATTACTCTGCAGCAATGCGGCAGTTCCGGATAATTGATAATTATAACCGAAAGCAGCAAAGTATAAAAAAGAGCTGTTTAGTAATACGAAGAGTTGGAAAAAGTGAAAAGTTGTCCCCTCCGTCATCGCCGGAGCAATGCGAGGACATTTATTTGAAGTGTATATTCCCTTGCGTTAATTTAGAAGAGATACGTTCCGTGAAATTCGCAAGAGAGTATTATGTGATAAGCTAAGACCACGAAGTTTGCACTGTCTTATCTTTGAAGCGAATGTCAGTTCTGTGTACTGACACTAGTTATTTGGCTATCACAAACTCAAGCTGTTTGCCACAATTATTCCCACCATTTGAGGATAAGCCACCGAGTTGATGAATATAGAGGGAGACTAAATCTTAGCATCTGGACTTACCTAAAACGACGATGAAATCTAAGGCGAGGAGAGCGGCCAGAGGTGGCCGATGGGCAGATGCCGACCCCCGGGTCATTCTCACATCTCCTGCGTCAGTCTGGAACAAGGATCACATCAGTGGCGTCTCGTGAATTAATCATATTTTCAGCTGCGTGTAAAATCAACGTCTATTTAAACAATGAACATATTTTACTTTTAAATAACATTACAGCAATTTACGATGAAGTTACGAACGAATTTATACTGTTTATTTTAATTTTACAGCATGGTTATGCACAATATTTCTACCCTTACACGCGATTTTCGCTTCGCTGCGCTTATATAGAAAACGGTAGCTAGTGCGTGAGCAATTAAGAGAATATCTTACCACGGTCAGCATATCTTGACACAACTGTTCTTATTCCTATATTCATTTTACACATACATTAGTTGTTTTACTTTATCAAGTTGCATAGTTCCACGTGCACACAAATATTTGTTAAAAAAACGCGGTACCTGATCTTCATGTTTCGAAAAATGCTCACAACACCAAGCAAGAAAGACGAACCTGTCACGGATTATATGTATTAGTGTCAAAAAAATCGATAAAATTTGAAACTGATGTTATCAGTTATGACGCGTGTGAAGCAATGGTTCCTTTGCTTCCATTGAACAAACGCCACTGGTTCGCATTGATATTGATATCTGGATGGCGGCACCCGGCGCGGTACTAACAGCGGAAACCTCATTAGCCTCGCACCGCAGACTGTTGCCGCCCGCGCCGGCCACCCATCGTCTTTGCTTCATTGCTTCTCTGATATAAATTATCCGTGCATCTCGGCTAATAGCGAGCAAGGCGCATCGCGGATTGTCGTTAAGGGCCACCCGCGCCACAGCCTTCCCTAACGAGATATGCTGAAATTATGCCACGAACAGGGAACATCAACATTCAGCCACGCTACCAAAAATCCGGTCATCCTTAATGACCAATGAATTAAGAAAGCATTCCGCTCTTAAGCAACCCTAATGGCATTGTTATAGTCGGGAATAATTTACCATTGTCTTTGATTTGCCGACGCCGAATGGCGGTAAACGACTGCCGTTAACAGACCCGGACTGCTCCACTTCCACACTCGCCACAGCTCAAAAGTGACGTTTTATCTGGAGAACGCTTTGCATTGTCATTCTGAGACAAAACGCGCACCTCTGAACATCAACGAAAAAGACTTCGTTTCGAAAGAAAATTCCTGACTTGAAGTTGACTGCGAGATTTGGTCATCCATACACACTTTAACTTTTAACATATCATTAAACTCAGCGTTCCACATCACTACCGATCAACGAGATGAAATACTCTCTAATAAGTTAAATTTTTCAACTTCAAACACAAGTTGAGTTATCCGGAATCTCGGAGCGTTAACAGCTCACTGCTTTTGACGTGGTCAATGTTCATTGTAACTACCCAATTAAAAACATTAATAAACACCCTATTAAATCGCGTACAAGTAAGATCAAAGAGGACTCTGTAGGCACACAAATGCCGAGAACCATTCATGTTTAAAAAACATTGTAAAATTTACTGTACACCTCGCAGCAATCGAATTTTATTACATACTTCATTTTATACTAAATATAATGGAGCACGAAATAGCTAAAAGAATTTGTTCGTTTAAGTAGGATTGACGATGATGTTGGTTTCAGCTCCGGCATGCCCTCCGGACGAAGTGTGTCAGACGCAGTCAATGACGACACCGTGACGAGCAGGAGTGCTATATATCGTCTTGAGTTTAACCAATAAAAAAATTTGCAAGGTTTGTTCTAGCCAATCAGAAAAGTGATTCAAATTTTTGTAACTAAAGCTTAAAAGTGAACTTCTTTGTTTTTGACGACGACATTAAGACTGCAATTTTTTTTTCCGAACAAGTTAGTATATTTTTTGAAATGTAAATTTTCAAAAAGAGCATCAAGTAATCAAAACCCCTTTTCTGTATACGCAGTTTACTTGATATATCTTGAGTTTATTTATAAATATGTCTTTATTAAAATTGTAAAAATGTAAAAATGTTAGGCTTAGTTTCAGAATAAATTTTTGTTAAACATTATAGGAGTAACCACGATGTATCGATCCCTTGATGGAATAATAATTAGTAAATTGAATATTTTTAACAGCCTAAATATACTGAGTTCAAATTTGTTCTTTTTTGTGGTAGCTGTACATTTTGTTTCGACATTATTTATGAAATAATGTGTTCCAGAATCCATCAACGCTTGGTAATGGAAATGTTAATAATAATTATTTGTGATGTATTCATTTGCATTATATTAATTTTTAATTTTCATTTGTAGCTTTCTTTGGTCTTCAATCTTCAAATGATTGTTTATTCATTACATATTAGAATAATTTTTGTTGCCAAGTTGTTTGCACTTGAATCATTAGAAGCGGTTTTTTAACTACTTATGTTTCGCTCCAAATGATAATTTATTCAAATGTGTACAACAAATGCTAATTAAATTAAAACGATACCCATCCTGGCAATTTAAAATACAAATTTAGTTTGAGGTTCTGGAAATGTAGAAAAAGTTTTGTTTTTTACATTTAGACAGCAAAAACTTGTTAAAAAAATAAAAACTCTCGTTTTTTCTGACAATCAGTTTTCTAAAATAAATTATTTCTGAATTATATAGTGTACAAATACTAATCTTCATAGAATTTAAATGCAGCTAGCAAAATATAATAGTCAAATTCAAACTAAAAAATTGGTCTAAAGAGTTTAGACAGTACTTCCCTCGCTGTCGGAAATGTGACGACTGCATGCCTATTATGTTTTTTTCGCAGTGGATTTCAAAGAATTCGGTTTTGTAGTTCCTGATTAAATCAATAAAATATATTTACGCATTCATTAATTTTGTTGAGTCACTCTGTATATGCAAATCCAAAAAATATGAATGGAGTGATAAATGACAAGTACAGGCTCATCATATTTTGTACATTTTAGATATGATTTATTCGGCAAACTTTCGAGCTGACGTCATCAAGTTTTTGGAGGGGATAAGCAAATATATTTTGACTAAACATTTATTATGCTCTTTATAACCTTAAAACATCTGCAAGATGTCAGAGCATTCCGTTTTGTAGTTCCTGATTAAATCAATAAAATATATTTGCGCATTCATTAATTTTTTTGAGTCACTCTGTATATGCAAATCCAAAAAATATGAATGGAGTGATAAATGACAAGTACAGGCTCATCATATTTTGTACATTTTAGATATGATTTATTCGGCAAACTTTCGAGCTGACGTCATCAAGTTTTTGGAGGGGATAAGCAAATATATTTTGACTAAACATTTATTATGCTCTTTATGACCTTAAAACATCTGCAAGATTTCAGAGCATTCGGTTTTGTAGTTCCTGATTAAATCAATAAAATATATTTACGCATTCATTAATTTTTTTGAGTCACCCTGTATATGCAAATCCAAAAAATATGAATGGAGTGATAGATCACAAGTACAGACTCATCATATTTTGTACATTTTAGATATGATTTATTCCACAAACTTTTGAGCTGACGTCATCAAGTTTTTGGAGGGGATAAGCAAATATTTTTTGACTAAACATTTATTATGCTCTTTATAACCTTAAAACATCTGCAACATTTCAAAGCATTCTGGTTAGCAGATTAAAAATTAAATTTCAAAATGTTGTTTTATAATTTTGATTTTTTTTCCAAAAATCTGGACGTTTCGGGTGAAAAGTCGATTCAGAGTTGTAAACTACATGTGTAGGACTATGTTATTTTATACAATTGAAAACCCATTTACTATGTACAATTTTGAAGTGACGTCATCGCTTTAGTGGTGGGGATGATTAGACAAATTTTGGTTAGTGTTTTACCATCTACATGATATTCTTAATATAAGTACAAAATTTCACAACAATCGGTCGAGTACTTTCGGAGATTATCTGTCTAATAAAAATCCGGGACAACAGACGGACAGACGGACAGACGGACAGACGGACAGACGGACAGACGGACAGACGGACGGACAGACGGACAGACGGACAGACAGACGGAAATGGGAGACCTATTTCTTCGTCTTCTAGGGGTCATGAAAGATCGAGAAAATGTAAAAGTAGAGAGTCGGCCGACGGACTCGATTACAATACTTCCTTTGCTTACGCTCGGGAAGTAAAAAGAGCATATTTACACTTTATCTAAAATTTAGTTTTCGAAAATGATTTCGTTCTGAAATATTTAAAAACAGTTTTACCTCATATTAACAGAAAATATTGATTTTGTTTCACTTTAAACCGAACTATTAAAAATTTAATCTATAAACTATTTCATAAAAGTTTTATAGCGAAAATATTATTCATAGTTCAATTTTAAAACAACAATTAATTAATTTTTTAATTATTTCTGAATTATATTGCATATTACTAGTCTTCATCGTTATAAAATTCGTTCTTAAATATTTAAAACAAGTTCTCCCTAAGGTATAGAGAAAATATTGATTTTGTTTCACTTTAAACCCAACTATTAAAAATTTAAAAAATAACTGGTTCGCCTGTATTTATATTGTGTCTAAATTTGAGTTTTCTAATGTAAATTAATTCTGAACTATTTTATAAACAAATTGCCGCGCAAAATAAGCATACTATGTCGCGCTTCGCCTTAAATCGAAACAACAATTTAATTTAAAGTTTAAAAAATATTTCAAACAAAATTTTGTTTTTCAAAAAACAAAATTCCAAAAAGTCGTTAAATTTAAAACAACATTTAAGTCTCTTACAATAAAATAAAAGAGCATCACTTAAACAAAAAGTAAACTTGCTAAAGTACAATATTGCGAAATATTTTGTAAAAGTTAATGAGTCAAATCCAAGTAAATATTAAAAAAAATTAACAACGCCCGGTATTATTTAAAACAAATCCATCACATAGTCATAAAGACGCAAAAATGACCCTTAAACCCAACGTCAATAAACAGAGTACGGGATTTACAACACCTATTTAAACAATTGAGACGCCGCCAAGACAACAAGCTATCATTAAATTTTAAAGTACCAAGTCCCTTTGTAATTGTAAATTGCGTATCCTTCATGCAAACACCAACAGTTTCTACTCACCACCAGAGAGAACGAAGTTGTAGCTCAGGAGCTGTTGCTTTATCAGTGTGGGGCACTGAACTGAAGTGGTAAGCCCTTGTTTTGATATTTATATAGTATATTATAAACAGGGGCGTGATTTAATTCGGCCCGTGGAGGGGCAATTAACCAATGTGGTCACTGCGAATTTGTTTATGCGCACTAAATATGTATATTCGACGGGGGGTTTCCCTTGTTGGCTGCTGTAAATTATGTACCTTCCCACCACACTCATGCGTGCTACGAAAATTGTTTACCTATTTTACAAACGAAAAAATATGCAAGCGTGCGTTTCAAACAATTTTTGGCGCGCTCGAACGATTTTTTAACTCGGACATCGCCTCGTTAAAAAAATTCGTTGCGCTAGTAGAGACACCGTCGTGGGTATGATATTTGTGCCGACGTCTTTTATCTGGCTAAAGTCGGCACAAATGATCGATTCCCCGTTGAATTTTACAAATACAAAGATGTATTTGTTTCAGGTCGTTAGAATGCAGCTTTTTTGAGGAAATCAAGATCAAAGGTTTCTCATTACTGCAT